GTCTTCTCCAGCAGCCAACGCCCAGATAAGCAGGGAGTAACACCAGACAAACAATCCAGCAGTAAACAACAGCCTAATCAAGGAACTACCAAGGAGAAAACCACAGCCCCACCAAAACAGGCAGGGCGAGCTACTGTATATAAACAGGGAGCAAACCCCACACTCCCTCGCACTGATGATGTTACCTAGTTGGGTCATGAAACATCTGTGAGCAAACAACCAAGCTCAGAGAGCACCACGGACTCCATAGACAAGAATCCGTTACAAGAATTCCAGCAGCTGAACTTGTTCCACTTCAGAACCAACATACTAAATCCCTTGTAGAGAGCCAGTTTGGTCTAGCGGTTAAGGCTCCAGACTAGAAACCAGGAGGTGGTGAGTTCTAGTCCTGCCTTAGGCACGAAAGCTGCCTGGGTGACTTTGGGTCAGTCACTCTCTCAGCCCACGACGTCAGGCTCAGGCGACAAGCCGGTCAGTCAGTTCCTGTTGCAACCAACAAATCAACATTTGGCTGATCCAAAAAAAAGCAGGCCCCGCACATGCAGGAAAAACACTAGGAAGAAAAAGAAATGCTGTCTCCCTTGTTCATTAGGATGGAACCTTTCTGATTTTTTGGACAGATCATGCAAATAGGTGGGTGTGTACTTTGGACACATTTTGCGAAGACTCATCTCTCTGGAGAAGGCTCTAATCCTGGGAAAGGTGGAAGGAAAGAGAAGAAGAGGACGACCAGCAGGAAGGGGGCTGGACTCCGTTACAGCAGCAGTAAATGCACCACTGGAATATCTGAAGGGCCAGGCTGGGGGCAGATCCTCCTGGAAAAAAAATATTTATATGGTTGCTAAGAGTCGACAATGGCCTGATGGCACGTCATCAATCCAACTTCCTATGGTCTGGCACAAGGGGGCTTCTCTTCACCTAGGATAGGGAGCTCATCGTCTGTTCACGTGTGGTCTTCAAAATCTTTTTTAGTCTGGGGACTGACTTAAATATGATGATATTGTGATTTTAAATGATACAAAAACCTGTCCATGCTCAGTGTTAGTCTTATTTTGTTTTTAAAATCAGCACGGCCCAGCAGATTTTCGCCTGTGTTGTGTTCTAACACAGGGGTTTTCAAACTTTTTCAGGCTGTGGGGAAAAAGAAATTCCCAGAACCCCTGATCAAGAGGCAAAGCTTTAGTGACAGAAAATTGGCTGTGTTTGAGTGAACCTTTTTTTTTTTGCTCTTAGTCTCTTGCAGAACCTTAAGGTTGCATCGAACAGAGTTTGAAAAGCCCTGTTGTAAAGATGGAGAGAAATTTTAGTTTTTTACTTCACTAAATTACATTCCTGAGCAAGCAACTATATTGTACAGTGGAAAGGCAACACAAACAAAGTGTCAGGGACCAGCAGATCACTTGGAATCTAATTTTTCTTATTCTGGAACTGTGACAAGAGAAGCAGCATCATAGATTTTTAAAGGGAATTTAATCCACGTCTTCAAAAGGCAACCTGATCAGCGGACAAATGCAATTCCAAGCTGTGGTTCATTTGACAAAGAAAACAGGTGCAACGTGAGCAGGGTGTTGCATTCTACCAACAAACAGGACTGCGACGGCTGGTTTGTAGGAAGCCAAATTCTTCAAGTTGGAGAGGGAACAGACCCAACTGTAGCCACTGAATTCTTTTTTGGAGGAAAAAAAAAAAGCAACTTTAAACAATTAAGCTTTTTTGCAACTTGGTGAAAAAATTGCAGACTTCTGCGTAACACAGAAATCTGGATCGCCCGCTGGGAAAACCAGCCAAACTCTCTCCTTTTGAAGTACTGTAGGCGGATACATCCTCAACCACCTTTGGGAAGCTAAAGCTTACTGGCAGGAGAAAACTACATCTCCCAGAATCCTTTCTGAGCACATGCTCAATCCAAGCGGGAAAGAGAGAGCGAGCGAGCGAGCGCGAGCGAACCCCAGGAAGAAAAATGAGAAGCGATTGAATATTTTTATACTGTATGCGCGCGGGTTTAATCCGCAGTTTGCAGGCCTGATCCTGGCTGGGTGTTGGATCACTGCCCGCAAGGGACTCCGGAGAACGTGCAACTCACAAAGGGTTCATCTTTCTCTTCAAACTTGAGAGCCAAACTTTTCTTAGAAGTAAGTTTGCCCATCAAGGGGATGCTTTTGTTTTAAGTTTTGCACCCCCCCAAAAAAGAGGGGGGGGAGGTTTGCTTCAGCGTGCAGATGCAGGTTTGTTCTCTTAAGAAATGTCTATCGCTGGAAAGTTGTTCATAAACTCGTTGGATAGATCTTTGGGGACTTTTTTGAAGGGAATTCTTTTGAAAACCGGGACTTGATTTCCTGGGACTGCTTATTTCTTCTCAAGATCTGTCAACTTTCCCATAAAAGTCGGGGGGGGGGGTATGGAAACCTCAGTTTAAAAGGAGAGAGCCGCAGGTAAACAATGACATCAGAGCGATGGGGGAAAACATCATCTGGCTCAGACTGAACAAAGGTGTAAAATAAATTCAAGGGGGCTCAGAGTAATTTGTGCAGGGGATCTGAGCATTAAGGGGACGCTGAGGGGGCTTTGACCCTAGAGATTTTCTTTCAAGTAAATATGCTGAGGAATAGCCTGTAAGGCGTAGCAAAATGTTCCAACTCTTCACATTGCGTGTAGCTGCGTCTCTCTTCCCTCTTTAAATTTAGTTTGGGTCGATTGGTGCATTTGCGCAGCTAAGACTTGCTGAATCTCTAGCCGCAGCAATAAATCACTTAGATGGTACTTTTCGTCAGCAACCAAACCACACTGTATTTGTTTCCTTCGTTTAAAAAAAGCAGGCATTGCCTAATTTCCTACCTACTTTGAAGCGAGGAAGTGTCCTCCAGATTATTGATTGCTGGCTTCTTCCGACACAGCATAAAACTGCAACATAACATCCTAACAAACCAAGTTTTGTGAAAGGACCTTAAAAGGTGAAGCTATTTTTAATGCGTTTCCATAAAAACTACTCCCCCCCCCAGCATAGGTACTGCATTTGATCTATCATGTGGGGTTTTAAGCTTCGCTTCCTCTAACAACAAACTGGGGTGATCTGTGCCAAGAGCACGGTAGCAAAACAAGGTCAGTGAGAAGCGAGTGGAAAATGTCTCTCTCAGATTAAAAGGACTGAAATCAAAACTTTTTTTTAAAGCAAAACAAACACAAAAACGAAACAGGGCAGGGAACTTTCCGAGCGAGCATGACTGAGCATGCTCAAAGCCGTGGAATGTTGAATGACAGTTTTAAAAGGGGAAAAAAATGAGTGGGTGGAAGGGGAGGGGAGGGGAGGGAATCCAGCTGGCTGGGACTTTGAACAGAAATTCAGCTGCTGCACTGTCTCAGCACGCTTGCAGTTTAGCTTCAGTGCGCTTTGCCTAGGACGATGGCCTCGGAGAATGATTCTATGTATGTCTGCTTGGCAAGTAGCCATCCTGTTTTTTCCCCCAGCGAAGCACATGCAGAAGTTTGCAACTCTATTTTCTAGATCCTGGAACGTTCTCACCGCAGGAAAACTTACCCGTTTTTTAAACAGGGCTGTCTTATGTGTGCTCACCCAGAAAAAAGCCTGATTGGATCTTGCCCTTAACCAAATGCGTTTCAGGTAGTCTCTTGTTGATATGGTGTACTGTATTTTCTAGAGCTGAGTTGTGTTTTTTTTAAAGTCATGTTTCGGGTCTTCCCCCCTTACATTATAGTCATTTCATTTTCCACTTCCATTTATTTTTACATTTTAGAGAAATCCAAACTTTTATCAGGACTGGAAATGGTTCCCTGAGCTGGGGAAACTGTTTTTTAAAAATTAAAAGGATGAGCCTAAAAAGCTTTTTTTTTTTTGTAATCAATCTCACACCTGCATAGTCCGCCACTTTTTGTGGATAAATTACAAAACTTATCCTGCAGCAGTGTTATAAGTTCACCTGTGGTTTTTTTTAATCAGATTACACTGTTGTTAATAGCCTAGGAACAGGTCAAGCACATGTTTTCTGGTGAGTTGGCAACTTTAGGTTATTTGGGGTTTGGTGCATCACTGTGGGTTTATCCTTATGTCCCCGTAACTACAGTATGAACATTTTTATATGACAAGCTCTCCCATGCTCCTCTTCCAGACTTGTGAGCCAGGCTAATTTTGGATATGGGTTTAGCGTTCCCTCAAAAGAAATAGCCTGGCTGATGGGTCACAGGCACAGAGTGTCGCCATGCCTGTGATCTCTTGGCTGAGCAGTTTAACACCCCCCTCACCTTCAAGCCCTCAACTACACCCAGTCCTGCCCCACCACACATTAAGAACAATGACTGATTCTGCCCCCCCCAGCAGGTGATGCCTTCTGAGAAAGGAAATGAAGTTGAAACCTTCTGACTCTATCTGAGTCCAAGACTGCACACTCACATTTTGTTTTCAAGTGTAGGGTCATTTTGTTCCAATCTGGAGGAGCGATCATGACGGACAGTGGCGTGGATGTGAAGAGGGATCCAGATGTGGTGTTTGGCATCCCCACAGAGTCTCTAGTGCCTCCCTCCATGGATTTGGAGGATGAAATTGAGGCTCCTGTTGAACCTGAAGAAGATGCTTCCATTATCCAACAACTGCCCACCTCTCCTCGTGACATCCTGGTCCTCCCGAAGCTTCCAGGTCTGGATTCAGGTCTCTGCAGCCCTAAAGCAGAAGAGATCCGGATTGGTCTGGATGGGGATGATGAGTCCAGAAGGTGCTTGGGACCACAAGACACCACTTCGTTGGATCCTGAGGATTCCAGGTGAAGAGCCTCTCTTCTCTTTCCCATTTTATTCCTGCTATGATCCATCCTTCCATTTACCTTTATTGATGTTCAAGGGACAGTAAATACCACCTTTTGGCCATATTGAGACAGCACCCTATGAGGATTAATTGTAGACCTTTCAGATTGCCTCCCAAGAAGAGGAGTGACCCCAATCTCTTGACCTTCATGAAGGCCCTGAGAACATTCTTATTCTGCTGAGTGCTTAGTTGTCTAATTAATTAGTTCCAATTGGATGGCTATCAGTTCTTTTTGTCTATCTCTTCAATTGTGTCTGATTCTCAGAGACTTCCTAGACAAGTCCCTGCAGTTTTCTTGGCAAGGATTTTCAGGAGTGGTTTGCCATTGCTTCCTTCCTAGGGCCGAGAGAGAGGTCTGGCCCAAGGCCACCCAGCTGGCTTTGTGCTCAGGTAGAACTAGAACTCACAATCCTCTGGTTTCTAGCCTGGTGGCTTAACCACAATACCAAACTGGCTCTCTCAATTAATATTATAAACCACCTCTAATCTTTGTGAGGTAGGGATTAATCCCCTTGGATAAACTATCATTAACTATTCCAGGTTCCACCCCCATCTGCTAGCACATCAGCCAAGATGGGCAAGACTCTAGGGAGTGGGTAGTTCATGACCCCCACAGGCATTGTTTTCAGTGGTTATTGATACCACAATTAATTAAAAATGATCCCACAAACTCTGATTAGAGAGTTCCCCTAGAGCCATCTTTGGTACCGCACTTAACTGCCTTTGGCTGGTCTTGAAAGCTAAACAGGGATCTTAATAATTTCTCACCCCATTTTTAGCTGGCAATAGATTTTAAGGATACTGATTTTAATTGTCCTGATCTTACTGCTATGTTTTATGTCTGACATTTTGTTTTATTGGTGTAAGCCACCTTGAGTGCTTATGTAAGCAGAAAAGTGGGGTATTCAGGGACCATGGTCATTTTCAAATTGCTCAATGTGGCTGAGAGTTTTGTGTCAACAACCACCACAGCTAGTTCAATAAATCATAGTTAAAGCAAATTATGGCCCAATGAGATGTATGAAGCCAGACAATTAAAATCAAAATTAAAATCAGTATCCTTAAAATCTATTACCAGCTAAAAATGGGGTGAGAAATTATTAAGATCCCTATTTAGCTTTCAAGACTTCCCTTCTTGGGGCAGACGGGACCTCTTGTGACTTGGAGGAGTGTTGACTGTTTGGGTTTCCTTATCAGGAATACTATGGATGAGGGTGCCAAACCTTCAGCTCAGGAAGAGAACGTATGCTGCACACCCAAACCCGACCAGGCCTTAGAGGTAAAGAGTAACCTCAAGATCAAGGCCACTGTTGAACATCTGATGGAGTTAGAGGAGAAGGATGTGGAAGAGGAAATTCCAGAGGCTGACCAGGCTGCGTTTTTAGGGCTTTTTGCCCAACTGCAGAGACTTAACCCTGGCTTCCATGACAAGTTACTCAGTTCTGAAGAGGACCTCTTGGCTGCCTCTGACAGCGAGGAAAGCCATGGGTTAGGAGATGGAGACAGCCGACCTCTCCTTGAGCATGCTGAGTGCCAGGGACTTCCAGGCAAATGTGCCCGTTGTCCGCTCCACATTGCCACAGGGCAAGGCCTTCGGGCAGCCGCCCACCACCTCCTGAGGTCTGTCCAGGGACAGAGAAGCCGAGAATTGCTTTCCTCGGAAGCCAACCAGGAGACCTTGCTCAGCCTCCTACATTACGAAGGGGGTACTCCCATGGAGGAGAATGACCAGGTGCCCCTGGCCCACTCAGATGCGATGGCCAGGACTGGCTGTCAGAACACGGAGGTTGAAGGAAGCGCTGTGGCACCAGAGAAGGGGCCTCCAGGTCCTGCCTGTCAGGATCTGGAAGAGAGAGGAAGAAAAGGGGCCAGGGCCAGGGCCAACCCAAGGCTCCTCAAAGAATCCACTGGCCTGGAAGCAACTGGTTCCTCTGACTCCAGCTTGGAGGCTCACAGTTGGGAAAACTCCCCAGATCCAAGTTGGATAACGGTGGGGAAGCCTGGACTGAACCGCGTGGAGGATTCTTCTCCCACCTCCGATCCAGTGGTGAGTATCTTGCATGACAACACTCACACATTGCTCTGAAAGCCATCAAGGGGCTGACGTGGTTTTGACTTAGCACATTGTGGGTTGTTGCATTTATGGCTCAGCACCATGGGTAAACGCTACTGTAGCTTGCTTAACCAAACATGGTTTGCTTTAATGGATTTATGAGATGGTTGTAAACCAGAATGTGGTTCCTTTGGTTTTGTCTTAGCTTGTTGTGTGAATCCTGCCAATTAAATATGTAATGGGAATTAAATCATACTTGACCCATTTAAAAAGTGATGGCCCTTGGTTCCTCTAAATTTTCAAGGTTAAAACAATTATGGAGGAAAGACAACAAAACGAAAACCTTATATATATCCTGCTTTGGATATAGAGACGAGACTGATGGATCCAGCTGCAATTCAAATATTAGAGGCACCTTTGCCTTCCCGCTATCCCTTGTCTGTCCAGCTAGCGGTCTTGCAGGCTGAGGATCATAGTTGTTGAAGTCCAAAATAGCTGAAAGGCACCACATTATTTTTATTTGATGCATTTGTTGCATTTTTATCCTGCCACAAGCCAACTAATCCTGGAGGTTGCCCCCAGAAGTTGTTTAGCGTAAGCTGCCTCCTTGTTAGAAAGGTAGGCTTGCGGGCAAACCACCGTGATATCATGTGCATCGTGACATCATCACACAAGTGACATAAATTATATAGTTTGCATCAGTTGTGCGAAGTCATGGTGATGTATGTAAAGGGACTTGTAGTAGAATGATTAGTGGCTAGCTAACCTTGGCTAATCCCAGAAGCTAAGCAGGGTTAAGCCTGGTTAATATTTGGATGGGAGACCTCCAGAGAATTCCAGTGCTGTTGGCTAGACTGGGAAGTTAAAAAAAAAAATCCAGAAAAAGGCAGTGGGAAATATGAAAACCGCATGGATGTCAGGAGTCAAAGTTTATCTAGTTTTATAGTAAATTGTGCTTAGATCCAGTTTCTAAAACAAAATATTAGGTGTCCACAGTTTGAAGGGGATTAATTGGATACAGCAGCGCTGTTTTCTGTAATTCTCAATTTTTAGCCTTTTAGGTTAGTTATTATTTAAATTAATTTTATTCTGATTTTGTGTCCTGTTTTTATTATGTAAACTTGTAAGCTGCCTAGAGTCCAGTGGCTTTCAGGTGGTCAGACAAATTTCATAAATAAATAACAGAGATCTCCTCCCCAGCTTAACAAAGCCAATTTTTTGTCCCCTTTCCTCTTTCTTTAACAGAATAAAGCCAATTTGTCATCTTTCCCAGCTTACAAAGATGGTAAGTGAAGAAGTTTGGTTGATTTACTAAGTTGTGTGAACTTTGGGCCAGTCCCTCCCCCTCAGCCCAAGAGCCAATCAGGTGTAGCAAGGAAGGCGCTGGACTCGGAGGGGGAAGACCCAGGTTCTAATCCCTCCTTAGCCACAGAAGCTCATTGGCTGACTTTGGGCCAGTCCCTCCCCCTCAGCCCAAGAGCCAATCAGGTGTAGCAAGGAAGGTGCTGGACTAGGAGTGGGGAGATCCAGGTTTGAGTCCCCTCTCAGTCACAGAAGCTCATTGGCTGAATTTGGGCCAGTCCCTCTTTCCCTCTCAGCCAAAGAGCCAATCAGTTGTAGTGGGGAAGGTCCTGGAGTAGCAGCAGGGAGACCTGGGTTCTAATCCCTCCTCAGGTTGAGGCAGTTCTCTCACAGCCTAACCTACCTCACAGGGATGTTGTTAAGGAGAGCTATGTATGGTATTTTGCAGAGATAGTGATGATGGCAATGGTGGTGGTGGTGGTGGTGATAATAATAATGTTATTAAACCAGCCTTTTCTGTATATCTTAGTCCCAGGCCCCTGTGAGCCCGAAGATCTATTGGAGGGGGTGATCTTTGGAGCCAAATATCTGGGTTCCACGCAGCTGGTGTCGGAGAGGAACCCTTCCATCAGTGTCCGCATGGCTCAAGCTCAGGAAGCCGTGGACAGGATTAAGGTGAGAAGGGAGGCAGCAGGAGTGTGACAGCAAGATGCGACCTTGGTAGCCACATCTCCTCCATTACAGCTGAAGAAAAGGGGGCTCTGTTCCAGTCGCAGCAAAATGGAGCCTCCATGTTCAATGGCAGGTTACCTTTGCAGGGCAGTCGCTGGAGCATTACAGTGGTGGCAGCCGTGGTTGATCTGCACCACCCACGTATGGGTTTTTTGGAAGCCTCCGGTCAGCCACACTGGGCTAAATTAAGTCAGATCCATCAGGGCCCTTATGAAGCTCCATGCCACAATCCCCTGTTTTCTCTCCAATTCTGAGTTCTTTCCTTAATACATTTGCCTTGCCATGCAGGCTCCCGAAGGAGAATCCCAGCCAATGACTGAAGTAGATCTCTTTGTCTCCACTCAACGGATCAAGGTCCTCAGCGCTGACTCACAGGTGCATTGACAGTGGTGCGCTCGTGAAGCTTTCAGCCTGCTGTCCCCATCTGAGATCCCCAAATGGCTGCCTTGGGGTGGGGGGAGGAGGGCCAGCACAAAACGTCCGTTAGCCAGAAGACCCACGGATGAAACTATTCCACTGCTCCCTCTCTCCAACCAGGATATTCCCTGGTGCTCCACTTACCTATATCATTTTTTTCTGGCTTGGGGGGAGACCGTGTTGCAGTGCGCTCTCAAAATGGCTACTGAGGGACTTGCCCACTCACAGAATGACTGGCCGCAGGCTGATGGGAAGGAATTGTACTTTTCTTTTGGGGATAATAACTTAAAAAAAAATGTAATCTTTACAGTACTAAAAACAAATTAAGCACAAGCAGTGTCTGTGGGTGTATTGGCACCGTACTGCCTACCTCTGTGCGATCTATTGCATATGTATGAAAATATGTATACACAGAGATATTTTAACTCAGGATATTATTTTACAGCAGCTATAATTTTTGTGTACGTTTTGGAAAACGACACATCACCTGAGCTTTTTGTACCAATACATTCTCTGAACCGAGCTGTAGAACAAGGAACTGGGGGCTCCTGCAACAGCCAGAGGCCAGGCTGGCAGAGGATGGTAGGAGTTTTGTCGAAGGCTTTCACGGCCGGCATACGATGGCTGGTGTGGGTCTTCCGGGCTGTGTGGCCGTGTGCTGGAAGTTTTGTTTCCTAACG